GATGGCAGTGGAAATGCCAAATGCTATTTCCTTGAAGACCAAGCTAAGAATGCAGAGAAATAAAATCCCTAGCCCTGTGAAAAGCTCTTTTTAACTCCTCAGATGGAAATGGGAGAAGCTGAAAGATCAGAGAGAGATGTGGACACCTGCTGCAGCAACAGAAGGATTCAGCCTGCCTGGGGTACCTGCAGGTGAGGCTCCATATGTAACACCGGGGTAGCTTTCTTGTTCCCTACTCCTAAATCTCAAAATTATTTTATTCCTTTGGTAAAATAGCAGTGTGGGCCGSAGGTGGCTGGCTGCTTGCTGATAGCCTGGGCTGCAGGCTCCTGATGGAAACCTGCAGGTTGCAAAGCTGCTGGGTAAACATGTTCGATAGTCAGATATTCGTAGTCTGGAGTCTAATTTGAGGGCGGGAAGAACAGAGTAACGGTAGCAACAGGACTGATGTTTGGGAGATGTGTTCTGAGGCTGGAAAAAAAAGGGAAGAGGGCAGACCTGTGAACACGRTAAGGTTAGTACCGCAAGTCACACCTGGCAGAGTTATGCAGTTTTGCTGGAAATCTCTGCCTGCCTCTGCTAGTGAGGCCTCTGATTTCGGCCGCAATGGGGCTGCGCTGCCCCCGGGATCAGGGGATCTCTGTTCTAAACTCATCTTCACTTCTGTTGAAGTGAACCAATTCCCAATACACTCATAACAATGCTGCTGTTAAAGTTACAGTGATTTAATTCATGGTTTAACTCCTAACTTAGTCCAGCAAAGTTCTCAGTAAACGGMCTGCAAGTCCTATAAAGCAAAGCAAAATAAGCTTTAGGCTGAACATTAGTTTAGACACAGTGAGTTACCATATAAAGGCATAGTTTTTATATGTAACAATCTCTTCCACTTGATTCATATTTCAGCACAGTGTCACACCATAGACTCAACATACAGAATTTTAAATTGACAACTATATACAAAACTATGATACAAAGTTATTACAAAACTGAATTGAGAAATAAAAGCTCTGAATTTTTAAAACACAATACTGCACATTCCCAGTTTTAAAGCAACAACAGCATGAAACTACCCATTCTGCAGCTGGAGCACAACACTTCAGAGCAGCTTAGCATGATTTTCAAGCTCAGAGATTTACTAAAGGACAAGCTGAAAATGCAGCTACTAGAGCTCCCTGGAAAACCTCTTTCTGCTGCTTTAGTAACAGGAACTTGGGCCCTGGCTCTCCAAAGATTTATGCACATATCTGCACGTGAGGCTCCTGCAAGACTATGGACATGCTTACACTTAAATATACATAAGAATAGGTGGAAACCAGACACTGTTTATATGGCCATATATTTAATAAAATACATATACTCTATTTCCAAGACTGATCTCCTTGGCTTTAAAAGATTGAGAGGGAAAACACCTCTAAACTCTCTTGGATCTGCTCCAGYATAAATTGTCGGAGAGCGGTGAGGGAGCAGCTTCCACCTGCRGTAGTGCAACAAGTGCTTGATTTGTATCCTGAATTAAGTGGGGAGACACTGCTATTTTTAAAACTCCTCGAAGGGCTAAATGCTGCAGTGCTTCCTTTGGCCACGCTCAGCTCTCCTCTCGGGAGGAGCCTGCCCCAAGAACAGGCTGAAACATGTGTCTCCAAGAAGGGTTCATTCAAGGTCTGACSTTTGCAACCCTCTGCCCACATCTCAATGGGCGTCTGAGCACCCAGAGCTCACGTAAGGCCAGGGCTGGAGGCGCTCAGGTCTCCAGGGARGTTCTTTAGGCTGCCAGGGAGTGAAAGCGGGCGCGCGGGGAAGCTTTGCATCCAGCTGCAGCAGAGGYGGCCGCGGGTGACGCGTGGGTACCGCGGAGCGTCGCTTCCGAGGGCCGGGCAGTGCTGGGGGCTGTTAGCATCTCTCCGGGGCTCCGTTACTTCTTCTGCCTCGCCGTGACACCTGCAGGAGGAGGAGGAACTGCAGAAGGGTCACTACTGCGAAAACGAAGCACTTGTGGCTTCGCTTGTATCAAACAGCCAGGGTGCCGCTACGGAAACCGCCATCGGATAAGTGAAAATTGGCAGATCTAAATTTGCATTTTCTTAACAAAAACCTCCTGTACATTTACAGCTCTGGTTCTAACGCTCAAGAGTTGAGCCAGCCTTGCTTTGCCACTGGGCAGTAGTTAAATTCAATAACACGAATCCTTTGTTTTCCAAGCAGAATATKGCAGTGTGCTTCTACATTTTAAATTACTAAACTTACTAAATTCATGGGCTGATTCTGGTGTCTCTGACAGGAACGCTAGCATTTTGTTGCCAGTGGTTTAGGCTGAGATCAGCCCTCCTCTTGCATCCATATATTGCCTCCCAGATACCCAGAGATGTTTTTTGAGGGAGTTAAGGCTGCATATTGTCATTTTTAAGCTGCTGCTTCTTTAGTAACTGGAGGAAGTACTATTTCTAATGATAGGCACAAAGGCAAAGGCCATACAGGAAGATAAACATTAGCCTGATTACATTCCCATGGTCCATTAGGAAGCTGCCCCCAGACATTGAGTCTGCAGAAGARGAGATGAAACATCTGTTTCTCCAGAATTAAATTAAAACAACAACTAAAAAGATTCTTTGATTCCGTTGTCTCTTTGCAGATGGAGACTGATCTCTTCTCTTTCTCTCCCCTTCTTTGCCTTTTTTTTTTTTTTTTTCTTAATATGCCCATGCAAATACTTCTTTTCCCAAGAGATCGGGCTGCAAGTCAGGACAAAATTATCCTCTGCTCCAGCCTCCTGAGAGAGGGGAYGGAGGCAGGGGCCTTGCTTGGCACTTGTGCTGGGGAATGGGGGATGCTGAGGAGGAAACACGTTCCGTTCACGAAATTAGACTACAAGAGATTTGGCGTCATTGATTCATTTCATAAGAGATGCACATCTGAATGGAAAGGGSAACAAGTAACTATGCAATCTGTAACTATGCAATTTCAGTAGAGTTGACATCTTGGTTTTGTTTCTTGCTTTTCTTTCCACTTCCTATAAATAGAGTCAAACTTTCAGAAAAGTCTTGTGGACAGAGCTCCCAAAATTTCCTTGTGATAAGCGATTGCCTATTCCCAATCCCAGCATTGGTGAGGGATGCAGTATACATGTCCTTATTTAAAACTCAGTTTGCAKATTTTTTCTCTCTTATTTATTTTATTTATTTATTTAATTGGTGTCTAAAGAAAAATTACTCCTCCCTTCTCACTCCTGAAAGCTGTATGAATGCACATGGTTTATTTGCTTCAGCTAATTGCTTTGTGTGTCAGATAAGGATTCTGACATTCTGATACTGAATTTGGCTTTGAGCTGGAGCTGGTAATTTGTTCYTAACATATTTTTTTTCTCCAGAGCCACTGTTTTATTCCATATATCAATTATTCAAACTACAGAAAGTTTGAGTATTTAAAGTCTAGGTGATGTAGAAACTGGTTGCCCTGAAAGTAAACCAAATTTTCMTTGCAAGAGGTGTGTACTGAAATTGCATTTTTACAGTTTTTGAGAAAATGACTGGATCAAAGCAAAGACTTTGTTTATCACACAAAGCTGGATTCATTTGGTTAGAATGACTCATAATTATCTGCAGGGAAAGGCAGGTTGGCTGCTGGTGACACAGAAGACAGACGTGTGGGATATGGCCCTGCATGGAGGGGAGAGCAGCAATGACTCCACTCAACGCAAGATCAACCCCCTGGARAGTAAGAATTGGAATAACAAATTTGCTTTAAATGTATTCATGATTAGACACAAGGACAAAAAGCTTAGCTGATGTGCCAAGTAATGATTAAGTTTGTAAATTCCCAGTGCTATGGTTAGTTTACAAAAATGCTTTTGCAAGGTTACATACCTCAGTGTACCACACAACCTTTTTTTGTTTTATTATCTCCAGTATCTGTGTCAACCTCTGCTTTTAAATGAAAGAAAAACACTAAATATATGTGATCATGGCAAAATAAACGTAACAACTCGGAACTTCTTAAGACAAGCCCATCACTTAGCAGCACAAAGGCTCTTAAATGCAATCCTTGTGACTTTTGTGGGGAGTTTTTTCCTTAAGATAGAAATGCTTATTACAGGAAAGCACCATGGGAGCTGGGAAGGCCAGGACAAGGTTTTCCCTCCTTCCTCAGCCTCTGCACTTCTGCTGTTCCTGGAACGGAGAGAGCACCTGGAGCTGTCAAAAAAAGGGGGAATGGGGGCAGGGAAATAAGAGATCTAGGAGAAATTTATCCCCATTTCAGAAAAAGCCTCAGGAAAATGAAAGTTTGAGAACCACTGCTATGGGAAGTCACTTCTGTTCTGTAGTTTATTTTAAGTAGGGAAAACTGGCCTGCTCAGAAACAGAGATTATTATGGCCCTGAGGGATGTCAGCACCATAAGCTCCGGTGTGGTAGATGCTCAGATGATGTTGTATCTATCAAGAAGCAGACAGACTCCCAAGTGTCTCTTCTATGAGTTAGTCCTCTATTTACTGTGGGCAAAAAGCACTTGGAATAAGTGCTTATGAAGGGGGGGACGGGAATTCACAGCAGTGCTGATGTTGCTGGCTTTATCTGTTTATAAATAGCAGAGAGAGGGTGATTGCTGATTAAGCATCCACTATTAACTGCTCTTAATCACTGCTCTGGAATCYAATGGAGCTTTTGTTTGCACATAACCGTGGCTTGTGGCTGTCTTTAGTGCTTATGACAGATGTGCTTATTGCCATCTTTATTGCATATGTGTAACRGGCTTTTTAATTATTGATTCATCATTACCCTTTTATAAACAACTTATAAATATCAAGAGAATGAGCAATGTTTTCTTTCTAAACCATTTTTATATTAAAAAAGTAACAACTCCATTAAACAGAGTTGGTTGATAGGAAGGGGACTTCCTGTGGACAGCACTGGACTTCTAAGTGGGGAGGAACAGGTAAATAAAAACATACTAGAAAGTCTCCCTGATTTAACTCAGTCCAAGAGTACTATATATAAAACAGGCTACCTGTGTAGCTTTTGCTGTGCCTCTTCTTCTTTTTCCGTTTCCCAGATGTTCTTTGCTTTTCCCTGTCACTACAAGTTTGTCCAGGGGGAAGCGTTGCCGAACAGGAAGAATCGGTAGCTGGCTCCTCTGAAAAGGACTTCTCTTGAGAAGTGTCCAACTGTGAGTCAGTACCAGGGTCTTCATTTTCCTTCACTGTCTCTCTTGACTCACCCTGATAAGCCTCATCAAAGCGAGTGGACTGAGCACTGCCAGGATCTCTTCCGTTCGTACTTAGCTGGAGATTGCTTGGTTGGATCATCTGCTCACCAGCTGGCCTAATGCTCTCTCCTCCTTCAGCATGGGATTCTCTGTCCTGCTCTTCTGAGATGGACCCATTGGACTGGTCTCTTAAAGCGGTGCTCAAACCACTGCTCCCAAACTTTATCCCAGCACCTATACTGGCAGGAGAGAAGGTGAAGGTGCCGCTCTTGGTGCTCCCCTGGATGCTATTCACATGCTGATCGCCTGCTCCCTGCTCGGCCTGACCAGCCCCATCAGCTTCCATCAAGCTTGCAGATGAGCCTTCAGTTTGGCGCTCTGCTGGCAATTTTCCCTCAGCATTTTCTTTAGGAATCACCTGGTTGGAAGCTGAGGCATCTGTAGCATCTTTACCCATCTCCATTAGGGTAGTGGCTGGAGTGGGGATACCTTCTGAGGGATGACCGTTGCTGCTTGGCTTTTTCTTATCGTTGATTTGTTTTCCCGCTGCTTGTGAATCCTTAATGCCCTTTCCTTTAAACAAACAAACAAAAAAAMCCACATAATTAAGCACCACTGCAGAATAACACTCAGAGTCAATCAAGAAGTTCTGTCACAGAGGCCCAAGCTTCCAGCTGCCTACACAGCCATGGGCCAGGCCTCCTAGAGGAGTTATCAGGGTGGGCACAAGGTCATGCCACAATAAATGTATGTCTGCTAATTCTGGACAGACCTGCCTGCCAGCAGCGCAGGGCGCTCCGCTCCATTTCTTAACCACACTGATTGCAGAGCCTCCTTAAATAAAATGCCCCAAGTGCAAATGTTGGAAACTTCTTGCATGCGTGTTTGGCTCGTGCTCAGAGGCAGACGGGAATGAGTAGCTGCAGGTAAAGTCAAGTCTGTGTCCTTACCAGACTGGCTCTCCTCTGGGCTCTCCGCTGGCAAGGTTTTAGGAAGCGCATCCACCTCAGTTCTGTTCTTCGTCTTCCTCAGCGTGAAGCCTTTCCTTATGTCGGCCAGCAGTGCATCGATGACACACACATCCTCCTGCTTCGCTGCTCCCTTCTTAACTGGGAGAGAGAGAYGAGCATTAGCAACATGCCCCACGAGCTGGAGCAGAAGGCGTCCAGCTCTGCCCAGGCAGTGATGCCATCCTGCCTGCTACCTGCTGTCCTGGGCTAAAGCTCTGAGACAAAACCTAGCTGTGAACCCAGCCCCTGCGACAGGGAGGAGGTCCTGCAGGACCACAGTCACGCTCCAGGGTTCAGCAGACCTAGGGTGCACCTTGGCTTTGTCCGTACCTGAGTGCCTTGGACTGGTGCTCAGGACGTGTCACATGTCCCGTTTGCTATTCATGTAGGCAGGGCTGTTATTTTATTTTTTGATAGAGTCAAAATGATCTTGATTTTTCTTTTTAACTTCTTCCAGTATTACTTTTCAGATGTGCCTTTCATTTTCAACCACACAAAGGCAGATTTAAGTTATCTGCAAAGTTTTTGAAACTTGTGCAATCTCTGCTAAACTGGGATGAGACTACTGGAGATTTCAGGGGGAAAGACAAATGGGTCTTGCTAGATTTGGATTTCAAAAGCTTTGTTAGAAAATTAAAAAGTTCAAATAACTGAAAGCTTCAATCTGAGGTTTCTCCTATTCTGTTCAATCAGAAGAATTAAGTTCTTGGCCCAGCTGTAACTGTAGAAAGGCAATTCCTAGCTATGGCTGTAAAACACCTAAAAGCCTTCAGTGAGCCAGCACCTAGAAACCCACAGAATAAATTACCATCCTAGCCCATTAAAATGAAAACAGAAAAATGCTCCTATTGGCTCTCCTAGCCAGTTTTGGATGATCTGTCCATCTCTCTTTAATGAAACGCTTTCTGATACTTACTGACTTTTCCATTTTCTCCCTTCTGTCTCTTAGCCTCTTCTTCTTCCAGTTGCTTCTTCCTCTTTTCTGCTTTTGCAGCCTGCTCCTTTCTGTCCTTGTTTTCCTGCAGTTAGGCAACAGGAGGCATGAGAAAACTGGGTAAACATCTGGCAGAAAAGCTAATGAAGAGAAAGATGATCTGTTCAGTAAATAAAAATGGGTCCTAAGATTTTRTACTGTCTTTCCAAGAGGATGAGAYGGAGGCTTTTGGCTTGTCCAGGACTCTATGCTCATTCTTAATAGCAGGTGGCAGCAGTGATCTGCCTAAAGCAGCCACCAAAGTGCAGGTCCTCTGACTAGCTGAGGAAAATGTGAAAGCCACTGAGGCCATGACTTGCTCCACACTTGTGGCCTTTTAACAACATCTGCTTTTTCCATATCCTTTTCAAGCCTGTTTGCTCAAATTGGAAGTAAACATTAAGTTTTATAATCCTGATGCTCTAAAACTTATGAATTTGACTCCGGAAGACCTTTGTGAATCAGAAGCCAAAGCAGCACGGAAATCATAAACTCCAGAATCTGTCTCTGAAATGCTGTTTTGAAGTTGGACCTTTCTAACAAAGGCAGTAGAGCTGGTCCTGGCTCCATTCAAGCCCTGGCATCACTTTGAGAAGGTAAGCACGGGTCTCTCCTGTCATGAGGTTAATACAAGGCAGGGAGAAACTCCRGCAGGGAAGAATCAATGGGGAATACTCTGCTGGGGTCTAGCTACCTCCTGAAAGGCTACTTCCCCTGCAGGGCCCAGGTGTCCATCCTATCCCCATCTATTTGAGCCGAGGTAGGCAGAAGTCCTGGAGTTGCTCAGCATTATGTGCACAAAAGTCTACCTTCATGGCTCGGATGAAGAGGTCTCTGAAGGTCTTCATGGTGCTAAACATGTCCTCTAAGGACAACTTCGTTGGGTCTTCACAGAGATAATTTGCAAGTTCTTCTCTCTTCCTTTCAATAGTTTCAAATTCTTCTTCAAGCTTTCTGGAAGCATCAATGCTATCCTGAAATGCATTTAGTATACACAGTAAAATGCTGTTCAGAGGATAATGAATGAAGGGCAATTAAAGAAAAAAAAATGGATAACAATGTAAGAGCTTGGAGTAGGCCTCTGTGACCTTACTTTTTAGCTGTAGTAGAGTTTATGCAAGGCAAAAAAAATAAGATAACTTTTGCTACTAGTGACTGAGTTGTGCTAGTTTACATGGAGCACTAGGAGAATGTGGAAAGCTTAATGCCAAACATAATCCCAAGAGAGAGGATTTTCTCTGGAGATCTCTGTTCATCCTGGGCACTTAGGATGAACAGGCTAGCTTGGACAGAGTGAGGAGTTCTTAAGAAGCAGACTTATCAAAAGATATTTGGGGCCTGGAAAATTAATACAAATGGGTTGTGTGCATCACAGCCTCCTTCCAAATCTGGAAGTCCCTCATGAATCTCTTCAGCCACATATTATGTACAGAGGACTGTGTGTTTGTGTGTATATATTTAAGGTGGAAGATATAAAGGAGCTCCATTCACTGACCTGGATAGGTTTCTCATACTGTTGTTTCACATCTTCATTTGATGATGACATCTTTCGCTGTAGCTCCAGCAACTTCTTTAAATTGGCACTGGACTCCGAGCGTATAATATCAATATTAATTCTGAAAAAAAAAATAGAGTCTGTCATTAGTTCACTCCATAATATCTTCAGCAGACTGAACAGAGAATTCATCAGAGCTGGTGGCTTGGTTTTTCCTTTCCTTCCCACCACTTCACTGACTAAGGGTAGAGCTGACTGAATCCTGAGCTCTGGACTTACGCAGCCAAAACTCATGCAAATGTTATTTCCACCCTGGTACTCATGAAAATAGGGCCAGGTCTACCTACAACTTCATGTTTTGAGTAGACAGATGCCAAAAAGAGTCCACCCATTCAGAGGGTTATTCTCCATCTCCATGCTCCCTTCAGTGGCATTAGTTTCGTTTCTCAGAACATGCTGCTTGAACTGCTGGTTCAGAACTGCTTCTGGGTAGCTGGACTTCAGAAGATCCTACTAACATAAAAGCAGTGCAGTATTTGGAAAGGCCTGTGAGGCAGTATTAACTGAATGCACCTCAAATTTCATCCCTAAGTGTTGTCAGCTGTATTAAAAACATTGTATATTATAGTGGCTTGCTTCAGCATTCATCAAACAAATCTTTTGGTCAAAACTAAATAAGATGCTATCTCATTAATGTGCTATACCAGCTGTGTGTCCCAATTTCTGATACATTATTAATATGCATGGGATTTTGTTTGCTTGTTTGTTTTTTAATTTGAAGGAAATGAAACTGCTTACCCTGCTGCTTTTGAAACATTTTCAAGGTCTTTTGGCAGTTCCAGTAGGTCCGTGTGCCTGTTTTCTACTTCCTGAAGCAGGAGAAAGAAAGGTTATTTACTGTACGCTGTGAGCTGAGAGGAAGCCAAGTGGGAAGAGAAATGGGCAGAAGTGCAGAGGAAGGATGCCTGGCCTGCATCCCACTGCTGCCCCCTCTGCAGTTGGATTTGCCTCACAGAGAAAAACAGGACTGCAGGTTCAGAGGGGCAAGGCATTATAMTTCCATGATTATAAAAACCCACGACTGCTGAAGAATCAGACACAATTAGATTTTAACAATACTGATTGTTAAAAGAAAGCTGACCTGCCACTGTCCTCTATTCTTATCTTACTGGGGATTTCTCTTGGTTTCTTCTGTTGGCCTACAGCTGGCCATGGCAGGAGGCAGATCTCTGGTTTGATACAGTCTAACAATTTCTATAGTCCCACAAAGGCATTACAGGGGCTTGATTCTTCTTTGTCTAACTTACTTCCATGGCTATGCTTGCTGAAGGTACTGTGAGCTACATAGGAGCTTGGCCATACATGACTGGAATTGAGAGACCTTAATGAATGAAGTTGTCAGACAAGAATATGGACAAAAAGGGGGAAAAAAAAGCAATGTATAGAATAAGAAAGACATGTGGGTTTAGGGAGATCATGAAAATCTTGAGTATAGTCTGGTGGAAAAGGGACAGGCAATGAAAAAGCAGAAGAATTGAAGGAACACAGATCAGCCTAGAAGTTTTTGGTAGCCACATGTTCTGTGGTTTGTCGCTGGTGATGTACAAATATTGTAGAAATATGAAAAGAAGTTRTTCCAGGAATTGTCATGGAAGATGCTGAAGGGAAGCAGGACAAAAGTCTTCACACAACAAGTTCYCTTAAAGCTGAATAATGCCCCCAAGCAGCAACTGTTAGCCCAAATTAACTGAGAGCCCTCAGCTCTCAACACTGCAGTTTGCCAGGGAGGATATGAATACCAGTGTGTTACATCAACTGGAAGTAGAGCAGGAGGAATGGTTCTTCTGTGGTAAAATCCTCCCCCTTCCCCATTGCCCGGGACTTGGCAAAGGTACCTCCAGAATATGGTGCAGCAATGTAACGCGGGTTTGGTTTGCTTTGGTCTCTGTTAGCTTGAGTAAAGTGCTGATCTTAAACCCATCAGCATCACCTGTGTGACTTCCCTACAAGACAGAAAGAAAGAAAACATAATTCCCATGTCCATCCAAATTACAATGCTGAGAGAAAAGAATAATCCACGTATCATAATGACTGGAGGAAGGGCAGGACAAAAGAAATCCTTACATAGTTCAGAAAGTTTCCAACTTTGAGAATCAGTTGACAGAAGAGGGGCAGACGATGACTGTTCAGAAGATCTAAAAAACAAAACAGGTCTTTAACTGAAAGCTTTTGTCAAACAAGACTGTCTGCTAAACTGGATTAAAATTGGAATTCTGATTCCACTAAATGAAATTTGGATTTTTCAGGTTTGTAACCCAAAGGCCCAGCTAGAACTCACTCTAAATAAACTCAATTTAACTAGCTGGGCTTCACACAAGTTTTGATGACCTTTGCTTGTTTCTTCTTTTATATCTGGTATCTCATCTCCAATGGAAAATAATCTGGAGCTGGAATCTTCTTACTAACAGTCATTACCTTGCTACCTTCTGTGGAAGTATCTTAGATTTATATTGGTATGGGTGAGGATAACTAAGCTAAAACTTTAATCCTAGAAGATTCTGAGAGCCTATTCAGCTGTTCAGTGAAGCCAGGTCTGACAGACCTGCAAACAGCTGCCAGACACGTTCTCCCTGTTCTTGTTCTTGCATGGCTGACGTGCTTATCAGTGCATGAAGGATACCATCCCTGTCCTTGTTTTTTAAGACAGAGTGCAGCAGTGGCACAGTTTCTCACACATTTAGCTTTAAGAAGGAACAGCTCCAAGAGCACAAGTGGACTGCTTGTTAGAAAATTTGGAGGAAGCTTCAATTAATCCCAGCAGGAAGTTATAACTCCAGCTGGAGAAACCCATCATAGGGCATAGTGGAATTGACTCTTCAGGATCTTCTTTCTCAGCACTTGACAAAACTGAGAAAGGGGTAGGAGGCTCCCCTTGCTGCTGTTAGAGGTCTGCAATTAATCCTTAGGAAGGCATCTCTGTGCATGCTGCCCCCAGGATAAGCTAAAGGAGAGACTGCTGGATGAACAGATCTGAAATCTAGAAATCACCATAAGCTACATTGGCTTTCACTTGGTGGATGATCTTGAGAGTAAAACTGTCCAGAAGGATTTTATACCTCTTCCCCCTGCCCACTAAATTATCCTTTCTGCTCTTGAGCAGAAGCTTTGGCCACAGCAAGCAGAAATCTATTGTCAAACTGCAGAGACATTTTGTGTAATCTCTCCCTGTATTCAGGGAGAGAATGYTTCCATTTCAGCATTGGGCACTTATAACCCAAAATAGAAATCTTTTTCTCTTCTGGTTCCATTTGTAGCCAGTGAAAACTAAAGTGTTGCTGCTTTCTGAGGGTATGCTTTTGTGGCATCAGAGGAAATTGCTGCATGAAGATCTCCATGTGGCAAATAACACCGGATGAATTAGCTGTAATAGGGCCAGTTCTGTTGTCTGARTTCAGCTCCTTTGAAAGGGCTGGTGAGCTTCCCATGCTTCACTGTTGGAAGTGATTCAGTGCTGCTGCAGAAAGATGGATGGAGGGAGAAGGAAAGTGATCTCCAGTCCCCAAAAGCTCTTTGACCATCAGTACCTAGAGCTGCATCCCTTATTCTGAAGTAAACTAGTGACGAGCTGCAGCAGGAGGGCAGCTCTGGTGCTGGGTAGCCTCATTGCAAAGTTCTATATGTAGAAGAGGTTTTCTAGTACATTGCAGTTTATTGCGGTAAATAAAATAAAGAAATCCTTAGTTCACATTATTTACCTTCACAAGCTCTCTGGATGATTGCAGCTTTTGGATGRATCATGTCCAGCACAACACTGGTCTCTTCACAGATCAGCATACATTCAATCCGCAGCTGATAGCTAAGGAAGGAGATTGATTAAACATTTCAAGATATTGTGATCTTGGCCAGCATGGTGGCCTTCCTCCTAGCTATTCTAGAAATGTGACAATTATACAACATGGCCATGGTACAACATCAGCCATGTCCACATCAAAGCTCTGTCCTGTGGCTGGTGGAGGGAGGCACAGTTTTCCATAGGAACCTGTCACTGGAATGTAGTTTCTGTTGACGCAGTAAGATTAGCAGAGAGGAGACAGACCATAGTGTGAGATCTGGGTTTTCCCATCTTGACATTGCCTTAAGCTCCACCATGACCTTCAATATGTTATATGGCCTCATTGTGAAGATCTGGCCCTAGGTCTGGGTCAGCTTCTGCAATTTCCAAAGGAGAGAAGCTGCTGGAGCAGCAATCATCTTCCATCCAAGGGGAACAGGGAAGGGATGACACTAAAGTGGAAGGGGGAGTCTACTACATATATCAATCAGTATCTGTCTGTGAGGTTCCTGTAAAGAAACTTAAACTGCTAAAGGCAAACATTGAAAAACATTGGGCTGAAATTTGTGATTAACTCCCTTACCTGGGAATCTGAAGGAGGAGGAGATAAAACTGATCTGCATTTGCTAGCTTTGATTTCTCTTCTTTGAAGGCCTTCAAGTTTTCTATCTAATGAGAAATAAAGAGTCAAGACTGCAGGACTACACTGCATTTACAGCTCTGTGAAGTAAGCAAATCACAATTCTGTCCTGACCTCATGCTTTTCAGGCAGGAGCTTGAGCAACTGCTTCAGCACCTCGACATCAAACTTGGTTCTGTCCCCATTCTGGACCATTGCAGCCACCTCTTCATTGGAGCTGCAGGGAGGAGGAGCAGAATCAACTGTCAGCCCTTGTTCCACTACTACATGCTACTGAAATACATATCCATGCAAATTCTCCATGCTTTGCCTAATGAGGGTCACAGTCATCCAAGAGGAAGCCTGTCAATGATCAGCTGTGCACTTAGAAGATTGATAGTCAAATACCTGCTATGCCCAAAGTTTTGTTTCTGACCCTGGCCAAATGACTCAGAGATCAAACCTGMAGTTTAGATGCCTATCCCTATATATGTGTTATCTTAAAAATTATSTGATTCGTAAGTTCTCTGGTGACTCTGCTTTCAGCACAGGTTTGCTCCACAGAAGTCTTTTATGATCTAAATCACCCTATGTTTATATGTCACCATGTCTCCTCTGTAAATAAGATGTCAAACCTTCTCCCGCTTTCCCCCAGACCTAGTGTTTTAAAAACAGTGATTTTAAGCTAGGAAAGATCCAGCGGTTTCTGTATCACAGATCACAAAAACACAATGGCTGGAATAGATTGTGTGAGCACTTTACAGACACTAGGCAAAAGCTGCTTGAAGTTTTGGCAACTATCATGAAAACTGGCCATATCTTACCATTTAAATTGCTTCAAAAATATGTTCAAATTGAGACTTTTCTTGGAGTCCAAAAATGTGATCTTCATTAAAAAAAGAGAAGATATTTGATATTAGATGGGCTGTCTGCTATGATATTTAGTCTAAAGAAAGAGAATGACTCCCTCACCTCCTTTGGTTCCGTCTTCACTGGTGCAGCCGTTTTCTCCTTGGGAGTTGGTTGTGGGAAGCAAAACAGTTGCTCTATGCTTGTATAATTGGGCTCTATGCTTTCCTCACTGCTGCTACCCACCGAAGCCCACATCGAGTGACCTTCTGAAAAGAAAAACCACAAGAGATTCAGAGAGTTTACAGGGGCAGCCCAAAGCTGCTGGCTTTGGGGGCAACAGGAGTTGCTAGAAGGGAAACTTTACAGAAAATGAACAAAATTGTTAAGGACCCTCAAACTCACTAATAATGCCAGAATCATTAGGAACAATCTGGACCATACACTGGCAGGGTACATTGCTGCTTAACCAGAGGACACTGCTATGTTCTAGGAAGGAAAAAGGCAGCTATCCTGGTGGTACTTTGTTATGAACTTGTATGGTTTGGTACTTTAGGCCAAAATGTGCTGATAATAAAAATGAAGCATGAGGCAGACGGAAATCTTAGAGCCACCATCCCCTCCCTAAAACTGTATTATCCTCCACAACCAGATTAGCATGAGAAGGGCCTTACCCATTTTCTTACTGGCCCCAGACCTGACATTATTTTGGTTCTTTGCATGCCAACAGAGAAATCAAGGTCAAGCTGGCCATTTTTTGTCTGGGACCTTCTAAATTTTTTCATTTTGTAATCTAACCTCCTTATGGAATGCTGGATATAGGACTACTTGACTTCATAAACTAATCCCCACTGTATTTTAAAAAATCTCTTGTCTTTGATCATGACCTAAACTTTGCTATAGAAATCTCCACTGAAGCTGTGGTTAATAATGTGCTTTATTTAGACCTTACCTATGCCACCTTCCAYACAGTGGATGGTTGCTTGTCTAGGCCAAGGCTGACCTTGCCTACTCTTCATTTTTTCTCACATTTCAGGCTCCTTTTTAAATCCATAAGGAGAGGGAAATGTGACCCACAGATTGAGAAACTAATCAATACTTCTCTGGGCTCTCAACACTTTCAGCGTCCTTGAGTTGTGGCTGATGCATCCTCTCCATGACCTGTGCCATCTTTTTCACCATGGCAGATTTCTAGATTTCCTAACATGCACCTTTAGTCATGACTTCCACRTATATATAAACTAGGAGCAGACAGTCTTGAGCCCAGATCAGAGCAGGTTGAAAACTCAAGCCCAGGGYGTGTCATGATGGATTAGGGGAATCTTCTCATCAATCTCCCTACTTTCAATTTCAAAGGATTTTAGTTCTAAACAACCTATTCCAAACCAGTGATCTAGCTGGAATGGTCATTAAGTGTTACTAAGCTAATGATATTTTTTTTTAAACTTTGTAGGTCAGATGTACCAGAAAAAAAAAAAAAAAAAAAAAAAAAAAAAAAGGAAAAATGAGTTATGTTTCTACATAGAATCAACCAGATTTGACACAGTCAAAGAAAACTGTTTTTCCGTTAAGTCACCTGAAAAACAACACTGAGTTTATGCCGGGGCACCCACCTCTCACGACATTGGAGGGCAGCTTCTGCCAGTTCAACTTCTTCATTCTCAAAGTTGGTGTCTTCACCGTCTTGYGGATGGGCCTGGCGGAGCCCACTGGGCAGCTGAACTGGGCAGCCACAACGGCTTCTATCTGCTCTCCTGGGAAGGGTGCCATGCCGGGCAGGGGTGGTGGGGGTGGTGGGATACCCCCCATGCCGGGCAGTGGTGGGGGTGGTGGGACACCCCCCATGCCAGGCAATGGTGGAGGGGGTGGGATGCCTCCCATGCCAGGCAGTGGTGGAGGTGCTGGGACACTTGCCATGCCAGGCAGTGGTGGAGGGGGTGGGATGCCTCCCACACCAGGCAGTGGTGGAGGGGGTGGGAYGCCTCCCACACCAGGTAGTGGTGGAGGGGGTGGGATGCCCCCCACACCAGGCAGAGGGGCTGCAGAGGATGAAGATGTGCCTGGGAGTGGAGGGGCTGGAGGAATATCCATTGTGGGGCATGCAGAGGCCATGGCTGCTGTGCCTGGGAGTGGTGGAGGCGGTGGTGGTGCAGGAGGTGCTGGGGTGGGGGCAGTGGTGGGTGCAGGGGTAAGTGTCTCCGGTGAGGCTGAGCATACTGAGAGCTCGGAGGATGAAATCTCTTCTGCAGCAGATGGCCCTGATGGAGGTGCCGGTGCCTTGGAAGGGTTGTTTGATCTCAGGGGGTTCTGAACTGCACTCACACACACTTCCAGCTCGGTCTGAACACCTTCACTCATGTTCCCAGACAGACGTTTTTCAGCTCGCTTTTGCTTGTTGGGATGTTTCTTGATAGATAACAGCCTCTCAATGACTTCTTCAACTGTGTTCTCCTGAACTGAAAAAAAAAACAGGTGAGGTTCAATGGAGGAGATGAGACTCAAAGATTKTTTCATGCTATTCAACCCTCTGCAGTTTCCTTCCTATTCTGACCCAGCTCAAAGCCCATAAACACTGTTAAGACTGTTGACAAGGCTAGCCAGAATGAGTAGCACGTTGCCAAAGAAGACAGTCCTACTTGCTCCTGCCACCCAAAGCTCTCTGCTACATCAGGGCTTAACCATCAAAGCAAGGCAATGTGATTGCCATGCTCACTGGCATCTGCAGGTCCAGGGATTYACATCAAGGCTTGACCCCATGTCATCTATGAATTTTGCCTCTGTTTCTGCTCAGTTCTTAGGATGCCTCATGAATTCTTTACTGTACGTTTGGGAAGGACTTTTGCAGGTATTGGATAGGAGATAGGAAACAAAGAGGTTAGTGCAAGGCTGGAAGAATGTGCCACTCATGTCAGTCTTACTGTCATTTGCGAGCARAATGGCTCGGTTTACTACAGCATCCAGGGACTCCCACAGCAAGAGACTGGAGTGGTGAGATGGTTCCAGGTGCAAAAGGCTCTGGAGGATGGACAACAGCTGRATGGAGACTGGAGAGCGGCTCACCTGGAAGACAAAGTGCTTTCAGTGAACGAGTTTGGTTCCAAGCAGACTGTGCTAACTTTGCCATTACATGACCTTGCTCCCCACATGAGAGCCTACTTACTTTATTGAAGAGAGATGAAAAGACCTCATGATGATCATTCATGTTTATCCCATCACATATCTTTAACAATTCCTCATCATCTTCTATCTTGAACTCCTCAAATGTGTCACACTGGATAAGCAGATCCTCCTCCTCTATGTCTCTGCAACCGTATAGCATTCATTTTCACTGGAGAGCCCTTCACTGATGATTTAGACGATTGTTATATTTTGAATAGTTTTTATCTCTTTGCTTTTTGTACTCAGGCAGTCAATGTTGAAAATACCTAACTCATATTTATAAAGATTCAAATCCCATCAGCAGTTCCTTTTTCAAACTAAACAAACTTCTACCTACATTCAGCATATAGAAATGAATGTGACATTTTATGCATGTGACATTTTAGCATAATCTAGCTCAGTGTATGCTTCGCATGAAATCTCCTTGGAGCTATAAAGACAGAGGGCTATTTCCATCCTTTCGAAATTTTTTTTTTCAAGACAAAGAAAAATATGCAAATACAATTTCTACTTGAATAAAATTTGCTTTCTGCTATTCAATATTAGCTTAAAAACTAGACTAAAAACTCAAGTTTTCATCTCTGTTGCGTAGTCTCAAGGGAGGAAGTCTACCTTTGCTATCTGGCAGTATTGAAAACAACATTTATCCACTATTTTTGAAAGAGCTGAATGGAAAAATCCAAGCTACATGAGTAACTGCTACTAACATGTAATRCACTCTAGAATTTACCATGGGTGCTTCTGATAGAACATCCTTTTTAAAATAAGAAGCTATGAAGACAGATATGTCTGGGTAGGCATCACTAAAGCATCTTAGCAGCATCCTTCCAAGACAAAGTGCAGTCGTGCAGCACTTTAGAATACACCARGCTGTTCAGGGAGCCTAGAGCAGTAGTTCAGCATCAATCTGAAATGCTGCCTCAACAAGGACATTGTTGTGCCTTGTTCTGCCTGTGCCCAGAGCTTTTGCCAATGCCATCTGTGACAACAGCTGCTCCAGGGACACTGTGGCTGTTTGGAATGTCTTAATGTTGGCCAAAAGCCCCTGGTTCCCACGTTCATGCTACCATGGTCCACTCCACCCAGGTACCTTTCACTGAACACCACTGAAGTCTGATAAGTGATATATTTCCATAGCTGTGTTGCTATAAATCTCATTTAAATGGAAATTTAAATGTTGATCCTTACCTTAGCTTGTCTAAAATATCCAATAACTGAAGCCCTGAGAACAAAAAAACATATTTATTGGTTACTTGGTACTGAGATATTATGATCATCATATAGTGGTATTTTCTAAAAACATTTTACAGAAAGAAAAAGTGAGAATATCTTCATACGGATCTGTCAAAAGAGATATAGGTGCATTTCTCAAATGGGGAGACCTATAGTAGACACATCTGCAGCTGAGTGAGATGTGAAGCATCCCCTTAGGATTATGGAGGGACAAAAGCACTTCTGGAGACAAGACTCACTTCATTCTGAATTAGATGTCTTAAATAAGTCAAACGGATTGTGCAGTCATATGCCCCTTTCTCCCACAGAAAGAAATGGAGCATAGGCCCATCAGTTCAAATAAGCAYATTAATGTGATTAATCCTAACTACTGTACTTAGGACTCCTGYATTCAAGCAATTGGAAGTGATCCTAGATCATGGGTAAACTTATGTGGCAGAACTGAGTGGCTGCAGAGTGAAGAAATCTCAGATCCTATTASAAGGAGTTGCAATCTATAGAAATATGGCCCCATAAAATGGTGCCTATAGAAACATATTGAAGATGATCAAAGAATAGAGTTCTGTGGGGATGCCAGAAGAAATCAAAGCTATGGTAAAACAGCAAAGAAATGTTAAATAGATCTGGTTAAAAATGTTTAAGAAAAGAGTCAAAAGCCAAGGGATACGGCTTTAAGAATTGCACACTTTTGCTCCCTCTCCCTCCTTATCTTATTGATACATTAAAGAATAAAGCCATAAAACTGCCCTGGTGGAACTGGTTTGGAACTGATTTTCTCTGAAGAAAGTTAGGTGCAACAAATATTCTTACCTATGAACTCGTTTCTGATTTGTGTTCTTGTTCTTAGCTCTTCTTTTCCCAATATTATGGCATTGATAGCACTCAGCAGTGTCACCATGTATGGCACGTTATCTGTATTTGAGAGCTCATTCATTATGACACTGAATCGATACTGCTGGTTCTTCACACYCTGTTAATAACACAAGTGATGTTCAGACAGTTCTGTTCAGACAGTTCAGAAACTTCTTCATCTAAATGAAGGCTCTCAAATAGAATTAGCATCCTAAAAGCTCTGTAAGTTTATCCTGCTGAGCACAGAACAGGAAGATATGGCCAAAAGCCACTTTTCCCAGCCACAGAGCAGTGTCTGGTTAGCAGAGGAAGTCAGTGAAACCTAGTGCAAGCCTCTCAGATCCCCTTATGCTTTCTGAAAACAGAAGAATACCCTGGATTTTGGGTCAGTGAAACCCATGGATGTGGCACCTTCTATTTGGTTAATCTGGTAGCACTTTTCCTACCAGGAAGAATCTTGTGGTTGGCAGCAGTCTGCTTGCAGACAGCATCTTGAGCTTCTGCCAACATAGAACCCTCCAGGCCAGAATTCCTACAATTTTCACCCTATAAATCCCTGCCTTTCTTACCAAAATGATGCAAAATGAACCTTATTTCTATTCCTTTTCATAGGTACATAGACCTACCTGCATGAATCAGACCCCAAGTGAGCRTTTGCACATTCTGTGAGGCAGCAAGACCTCCTGCTGCAGTCCAACACTTGCCTTGTAATGATCCAGGGCATCCAAAGCCAAAGCGTGGCCATCTGATGAATAAATGCACAATGCAGCCAGGAGTTCAAATACTTGCTTTTTGACCATGACGTTAGTTGTGTCAAGTGCTGGGGAATAAAAAAGAAAAGAAATAAAGAATTTACAGTAGCAGATTAATGTTCTGAATCTCAGTGTCTTTTCATATTGGYTTAAGACAATGGCTAGAAAAAACTTTAAGAAATAAAGCCAACAGTATATGGAAGATGAGGAAAAAAACACCCTATTTTACAGCTATATCATCCCAATCACAATATGTGGTAGTAGCTTCTAGTGGGAAGAGCAAATGCTAGTTCATTTACTCTACAGGTATTTCAACTCCTGATTATAGCTGTTCACCTACTCCAAGAACTAGGGGAAATGCTGCTAATAGCAAACTCTCAGTGAGTGCAATCACATGTTTTATTTCCAATTTTCAAAGATATGTATTTTCTAGAATGGCAGATGAACCACTGCCATTTTTTCCAATTAATAAGTCTTATTTTTACTGCAGAAATAAACACGAAATAGGCTAGTTATTATAACCAGACCTCATGTTATTTCCTTTTCTTCCATTCCTGTTTCTCTCTGAGRCTTGGGAGGAGTGGATTAGTGGACATGGAGAGTGGATTAGACTATCTCATTTATTTATTTATTATTGCACAAAGAAGTCAGACCACTCAAAAACCCAGGCTGGCCATTTATTTTTCACAGTACAAAAATGCCAGTTTTATATTTCACACTGGTTTAGAAAGCACGTGGTGCAGAGAAAGGAAGAGGACTTTAAAACTGAAGAGAGGAACAAAATACATACTTTCAGCTTAGATGCATTTTARAGAGATATTAAAAAGGGTTTCTAAGGACAGCTGTGATCTCAGCTCCGCAGAGCAGCACAGAAGCTTTCCTCCTGGTCTCCCTGCAGTTAATTGCAGTGCAAGTCCTAGGAGCCACCCTGATGAGTTTGCTGCCTAATGAGGAACAAAGTGAATGGCAGGACAAATCAAATGGTATTACCTGCAATTTTATAGACGGGAGCAAACTGAACAGCAGGGAAAATGGGTTCTCTCGAGTCTAAACCACATCAGACTCTTTCCTCTTCATGGGCTGCAAGTCTCCAAGCCCTTTGAATTTCTCCCTCTCTCTCTCTGCCCTTGAGCTTAACAAAAACTAAATGGCAAATATCTGCTGAAAAGATGAAAGCTGAGAGGTTGGGGGCTTTTCAGGCCTGCTTAAAGCTTGTTCAGGGTTTATCCTTACTCCCTAGGGAGCTAAGAAGACATTCGTGTGGAGATAGGCCCACCCACAAAGGAGAGAGAGGCAATGGCAATGTCATTTCAAAGGAATATCATTTTAAAGAGAAAAACAAGGAAAACAGTCCATGTAATTAATCAGCTGTGATCAACAGCTTGCAAGAAGCCTTTTAACATCTTTGGATATCTAAAAAAGCAATAGAGCAGTAGGATAATTGGAAGACATGTCTATGAAGCATGTCCAGTGAAGGTTAGAAGGATGAACAGCAGAAACTTTTCCTTGAAGTCTCTCCCTGGTTTGTGTACCGGAGGGAATAAGAAGATGTCTTCTTACCTTGGAAGAGTTTTCTGACATAGCCCTCGTTGCTGACAATGTACTCGATCCCCTTGTGGGAGTTCATCACCGCTCGCACGCAGTTGATGCAGGTGAGCTGCAGCAAGGCGTCAGAAATCCTGGACACCCCTCTCCCGGACAGCCTGTCCAGGGCCTCCAGGAGGAGGTCGAGCCCACAGAGCTCCAGGAACTGGACCATCCAGGCATCGTCACTGTTTTCCAGTCGCTTCTTCAGCCCGGAGTAGTTTACCACGGAAGGCATTTGGAGGAGGCGGATGCAGAGCTCCGGCTCGGCATTTTCCAGGTTGGCCTCTGACTGGTCTGTCTCCTGCGGCCCAAGTTTCTCCTTCAGGGCAGCCCATTTCTTGTGGGCACCTTCCTTTTTGATGGACATTGTGAACAGTTTACCCTGAAAGGATAAGAAAAGATAAAGTGAGAATTCTTTTTGGACTGTCCACCAACCCATGCCAGTAGTGTTTTTCCTCCAGCAATCAGGACTTAAACCTCAGCTGCAGCTAACCTCTTCTTAGGCCAGCTCTCACACAAGTGCAACACACACTGGGGCCAGTCCTCTCTTGAGAAGCTAAATACATCTCCCAGTTAACCACGTGCATTACATTCAAGCCCTGAAACCTCTGTAGAGTGACTCTTAGCACATCTAAGCCAGCAAACACGGCTTTAAAAGTAGCCAATTTACACCAGTCAATAGCCACTGCCTATTTTCATGCAGTGAAAGGACAAGGTTGGAAGTGGCATTATCAAC